ATCTAAAATTTTAAATACTAGTTTAAAGTTAAGTAAATCTAAATCTTAAAACAATTAAAAAAAAATTGAGGCCCCCCAAAAATATGGGACCCTAGACGACTATTTCGATTGCTTAGCCGAAAGGCCGACCCTGTCTTCTCCAAATTCACAATGCTTGTCTTGATGAATCCTTCTAGCAACAACTCTCTGGCTGCGAGGCTTATCATTAGCTCCGCCCATCAGAGACTGTCGTTGGCGAAGCTCCAGCTCTCTACTTGGTTCCCGACGCACATCATTAGCTCCATCCATCAGCGACTGTCGTCGGCGAAGCTCCAGCTCCAGCTCCTGGTTCCAGTCGACGTGCTACAGTGTCGCGGAGGAGGCGGTGGTGAAGTAGAACTCAGTATTCGGTTGCTTTGGTAAAAAGGTTTTTAAGTTTTAACCCTAGGATTTTACTGTTGTGTGGGCATTTCTAAAAATTGACAGTTAATCCTGTTGGTAAGAAAAACAATCCCACACCACTTGTGAGTTATTTATATTCTAGGAAGTACGGATACAAATATGTGACACGAATACGATATGATACGGATACGGTGATACAGTAAAATTTAAAAAAATAAAATACGGGTACGGTCGTGATACGTCTATAATAAAATATATTTTATTATTATTTAACGACTTAGAAATTATAATTTTTCAATAATTCTTTAACATTAGTAAGTAAAATTAGAAATTTTTACCATGAAAAAGTTATAATATCATCTCATTATGATCTGTTCATAAAATGAGCATGACAAATTAAAGGAATTATAATAACATTTAACTAGTTGGTTTTACAAGTATTTATTTTTAAAAGTATAGTGTAAGTGATTCATTTTTTTTATACCTTTTTCACATATAATAATAGATAATACTTAAAAAATACTCGTGTTTTTAAAATCAGATGAAATTTTGTTGATGTTTTATATTGTATGTGAACTCCAAAGAATGGTTATAACTTAAAATTGAAAATTGTACATCTTACACCATGTTTAGAAGTATCCGCGAAGTATTCACATATTTTATTAATTATCGGATACGGATGATGCGTATCTGATACGTATCATTGAATATCCAACGAATATCGTATCCGATACGATATCGAATACGAGTACGTCGATCTTGACGAAGTATCCGTGCTTCATAGTTTATATCCCAATCAGAAGGGACAGATTGGGTCTTTGACTATGGGCGGATTATTAATGAAAATTCCATCACTTTATTTTTTTCATCAAAATCAAATATTTGTGTGCCCCCAACATATTTTTCACCAATCCTACCATTTTATCCACCAAAATAAACACCCCTTACAGTATTTCTAATCATGATTTAAATTTTTATTTAAATTTAAATTACCATTTGAGTAAAAAATTTAATTTGATATAAATAAATCCAATGAACAACTCAAATTTTAAAAAAAAAAAAACTCAAATTCAAATAAGAGCAAACACAAATTTAAATGAAAGTAAAATATGACTATTAAATCTTTAAAAAATAATAAAATCTCATCATTAAATATTTAGATAAAGATTTGAGTCTCCTTTCATTTGAATAAAAAATGAGCCTCTTTTGATTTGATATGCCTTTGAGTATATGGTTGGAGAATGTTTTTAGGAGATTGTTACTCAAATTTAAATTTAGGTCTAAAAAAAAGTAAAAAGCTTACTGATATTTGCATTTTTAGGAACCAAATTTTGGCATAAACTTGAAGATATTATATAAGTTGGACAACCAATGGGTCTTTGGTTCAATGGTACTCCTTACTTTGTGAAGATTTTGTTTTCTTGAGGTCAAGAGTTTAAGCTTCCTTCCCCCCCCCCCCAAAATATATATATATATATATATAATATATATATATATATATATATATATATATATATATATATATATATATATATATATATATATATATATATATATGAGTTGGACAACATAATAATGTGTAATTAATTAGACTTAATTTTTTAATTTAATCTATTAATGTCATTAGAATGGCTGCGGATCTAAATTGTATTGGGCTTCACTGTCAATTTCATGACAAGAAATGATTAGGCCATAAAATTATGTGCAAGTCGTATTACTCCAAATGATGATTGCTTGAAAAGAACAAAAGAAAGTTAAATATTTATGTTGGAGGTGTATGACTCCAGGTCCTAGAGTCCAATGGTCCTTGGAGAGATCGAGGCAAGGAGAGCATAGCACAAGCGAGCAGAATATTGTACATTATTTCTATGATAAAATAAAACAATCACTTATATAATGTCGAACCATGTTAATAAGTGTTCATATTATTTGTTTAATTGCATTGTGTATTGCATTGTACATTCATATAATAACTTATTTTAAACTGTATTTCCATAAAGAGGAGACGATAAGATTCGAACGCACAAACAATTATGGAGCGGTGGCCATTAGACCAACCAATGAATCCTCACATTCATAACAACTTCAATGAGAAGATTTTTCGGCTTTCAAGGGTTATGGTGGTTGTTACAATGACTGCTTGTCTTTGGATTGCACCTAGATCTTGGGACTGATACACTTTCAATAGGAAAAGTATAAGATTATCTCAAGGGGACTTTTCAATTATATACTGTCAGCACTACTACACTCCTCCAAATGACAGCTTGAACAAGTGCCCAATCTCTTGAAGATAATCGCAATATCTGGATTGGAAAATCTTGGTGGAAAAAGATGAACAAGCTCAGAACCCTAACTCTTATTGTCTCTCTCCTTTTGCTTGCCTTTTCTCTATTCTATAACTTTCAAACAGAAAATTAAAAATAAGATTCGATTAAAAGACAGAACCCTAATATTTATTTGTAAACCTCTCACACTTGGGCTTGTTAGTACTCATGGACCTAGACAGCAGGCATACCAAACAAAGCCCTTAAACATATAAGGAATTAGTGTAGGGTACTGTTCATAGATCACTGGGAAACTAAAACTAACCCCACATTAGATGGGGAATCTCATGTGCTTCCTTCCTAATTCTTAACATGGTAGGACAGCTTTGCACAACTGAGCCTATGGTAGGCATGGTGCACAAAGGAATCTATGTAAGGTTTTGATAAACAAAGGAATCATTTATCCATAATATTATATATATACACCAATAATGTCTAATCGCTCTCCTCTCACTCTTGCACTATCAAGTACACAAAGCAAGTTTTGAAGAAAAAACTTTAGAAATACTTGATGGGAAAAAAGAATTTAGAATTGTTGTGTGCAGATTTCAGCGGCTTTGTGGTGTCATGAAGGTGAATTGATTTTGATATACAATCCAACAGCAAATTACAACCGAGTGGGGCACTCATGTAAGTGTCTTTCAACGTGCTTCAGAGTCGCACAAATTGCTCCTGAGATAAAGAGTATACTCAACGCACTGTCCTAACTAAGACAATGTGAATTTCTTCTAAGGGCATTGCTCTCACCCTAATGATCTGACACATTACAAAACACAGTCCTTTTCCTTTAGGTCACGTCTGAATTTTTCTTTCTGAAAATTGATGGAGTACGACACCCATAAAACATGGATGAAACTAGATGTTTCAATGCCTCCTATTTCATTGTGTGATACTACATGTAAAGAGGGCATCCTGAAATATAGGTGCCTGTCAATTTAAGCATTCTATGGTTCTTGAAATTTCCTTAACAGCACGAAGAAGTCTCATACCAGCACACAGATTATGGCATTGGTGCCAAGTGCTAATAGTCGCAGTAACTATGCCTAGCTACATGAAATGATCATGGGTTAGGTGGAAATTTATGTTCAACATGAAAATAAATTCTTGGTTTTGTTTGATGGCGTCAATACTAGTTTCATAACCAACCTGCCAAAGAAACATCAACATAGTAGTATAATTGTGCAAGTGCAAAAAAACTGATTCTGGGCAATACGATAAAATAAAAAGTGCCACGACGTTGACAATGATGAAGCAAAGTAATTAAGTTGAAGTTCGTCAGATAAATTGAAATGTATCAGTTGTTAACTTCTGACATAGTTGGGAAGCTACATGGTTTGTGGTCATACGAATAATGCCCTACCACAAAAGAAGAAAAGCAAAACCAAACCACTACAATAAATACCAATAATGCCCTACCACAAAAGAAGAAAAACAAATCCAAACCACTACAATAAATACCAAAAACCGGAGAGAGAGAAGACAGAAAACAAAACTAACATAAACAGAAAACAAATAGAAAAGGTGGAAAACAAAAAGACAAGGGAAAAAAGGAATTTAAAAGAAAACATCTTTGATTACGATTAAAAGGAACAATTTCAAATAGACTAAGATCGAATTTCGGGTCTTTTCTTGCTGAACATGATCTGCTATAAAGGAAACTCCTGAACTGAACTGAAGGGAAAAAGAAACTATAGAAGAAACTCCTCAATTGGAAGTTTTGAAACTAAATAGGTATTTTCTATCCACATTAAAGCTAGTTTCTGCTGAAAAGATCGAAGGGAAAAAGGAAAGGAATGAGGAAGTTCTTGTTTGAAATTAGTGAAACATTGCATACTTGTATTTTCCTTCAACAATAAAGTAAGTTTTGCTCTCTCTCTTTCTCACTCCCCAAGCTTAATGGAGAAGAAAATACATATGTAGTTGAGGAAAGAATCGAAGAGAAATTAGGGATTTCATACAAGATGGTGGTGGTAATGCAAATTTACCAATTATAAGTACAAGTACTACTCTCCGATGGTGAAGGAGAAAAAATAACAAAGCAATTACGAATCCAACATGGGTTTATGCCAAAACAATAGATGATGAAAGTGATGCAAATTGTATTAACCAGTTGTAACAGTAAGAATGAAACCATAATGAAATAGGGATTATGACTAAAGATGGTGGAAGGTGATGCAAATCTACAAGTAGTACTTGAAATGACCTATTACTCTCAGATGATGATTTTGAAAAGAAATGTACAAAGATCCAAGGTGAGATTGGAAGAATTAACATAAAATAGAAGAGTGAGTGAATTTACGATCTTGTACTTTCACTCTCATATGAACTCAGGAGCTCATCTAACAGATCTGCTCCTAAGTCCTCAAATATCAAAACATTTCCTCCATTTATTTCTTTCCCTTTCTTTCTCCTACCTTTCGACACACTTCTCATCTTATGTGTTTCCTTCAGCGCTGCAACTGGGGAATATCCATCCTTGTAGCTGCACTTCATCTTCATGCCTCGAAGCGACTCCTGGACTCTCTCCTTTGGGAAGTTCAGGAGAGCTAACTGGCCTCGCATCGAAAATGCAGCTTGATCATAAGCCAAAGCGGCCTCCTCAGCACTATCAAACGTTCCGAGCCAAACCCTCATTCCTTGTCTTGTTGAATCCCTAATCTCGGCTGCGAACCTTCCCCATGGTCGCCTTCGAACTCCTATGTAGTGCTTTTGCTTTAGATTCTCTTCATTGGCCTTGAAATTGACCTTTTCTTTGTTTTTCCCCTTGGAGAAATCGATATTCATTGGTTCTTGAACTTCCTCGGTGAAGATCTTGAATTGAAGATTCTCATTTGCTGCATCACCTTTGTGTAGTGAAAGGAAATTCTCAACAAAAAGAAGCTCATCCCATGATGAGGATGGAGACTCTGGAGAGAGTTTAAAACTTGGGTATTGAGGGGTAGAAATATTCAT